GTAGCAGCTGCTGGGGGAGAGAGAGGGAGCCCAGAGCAAAACCTCTGGACTTTTCAGGGGCTGTTGGGAGGCGTGGTCGACAATACTGGTCAACCGCATTGGCTGAATCAAATTCACCTGGCTTAGATGGGCCAATCCACGGGTAACACCCACCTAGGTGTACCACCCCTTCCTGGTCAGAAACTGGAACCTCTGAGCATGCGTAATGGATGGCCCAGTCCCTTTGCTAGCTACCTAACAGTATGTCCTTGGTGCATTCATTAGGAGCCCTAAAATTGCTTTACAACATTGCCTGAGCAGGGTAGAGGGCAGGCCACAAGGCTAAGGGCCAGAGGGAGACCTGTCTGCAGACATAGCAGACAAGAAACTGTTCTGACTGAACCACTGAGTCCTGTGCCATCTCACACGCAAGGACGGTAGCCTATTGGCTTCCCTAGGGAACCCCACCTCTGTATCACCTGTGACTTCTGTGTGGTCATTGCTATGAGTTCTTGAACCTGGCCAAAGAAGTAGCATGCTGGGGGAGGGACAATTTCCCCTGACGCTGGCAGGGGAAAGGAGTGAACTTCTGATCTCTGTTTCACGGCAAATCAGCACTGGAAGGGAAAGGAGGCCAGATGTGGCCCCCACAAAGTCTCCTCAGTGACGAATGCCATGGAACAATACGCCTACTAAAGAGTGTGTCACTGCCTTTGTGTTGTTTCCGATGGGGAGCAGCCCTGTGGGACAGGAAAGCTTGCAGATGAGCTTCTGCGGCTGTCATCTTTATCAAAGCAGGCAGCACGGCAGTCTCCCACGGAGCTGCTGTGGGTCCAACTGTCTGCTTTCTGGTTAGCAGTGGAACATGCAGCCCTTTTGCTGCCAGGGCTCTTTGTATGCAGCATCAAAACTCACCTCCATCAAGTAGGCTCTGACTCTAACCATGGTAGTTAGGGCAGGATAGAACTGCTCCTGTGGGTCACTAAAACTGTACATCCTCACAGGCGTAGCGAGCCTCCTGCTTCTCAACCCGCTGCTCTTGGAGTGAGCAGCCTAACGTGTGACCCACTATGCCGCCAGGGTTCCTTCTACGTGGTACTAACTGTAAGGTGGACGTATGTAAAGGGCACGGTGAAAATATTGGAGGTGGTGGGGAGAGTTTTCTTACGGAGTTTAGCAACCAGGCTGTACATGCTAGAACAATTTTATTTCTAATGGCCAAGTGGGCATTTGCTGATTGGGGTCTGTAATGCCTTGTTTTCCCAGAACTTTGAAGGAAATGAAGGTATTTCATACACACGCAAACAAGCAAGCCTGCTAAAGAGGCAGGGAGTGCCTTTGAGAGAAATTACTTGCGATGCACCGGGGGAACAAATCCTTTCTGAATGAGTAGGTTGACTTACAGTGACCATGGAGATAATACGGTGACGCTCTGGGGCAAACAGGACCCAGGCAGAAGGAGCCGTGAGTGCAGAGGTGCTAGAGACCGGCTTTGACACGTCCAAGGAAGAGAAGATGAATGTCACCGTGACGAGTGAAAAGAGGAGACAGAAGCCCACCTGCTGACCACACCACGCAGGGCATTGGTTTATTCCTCAAACACATCGATGTGGAAATGACTGATGTCCATCAACAGATGAACGAAATGTGGTGTGTATGGACACACAGTGGAACACCATTCAGCCGTGAAGAGAAATGAAGTCCACAATGCCTCCCACGACATGGACCAACTCTTAGAACATCGTGCCCCTTGCTAAAAGGCAAATATCTCGAGATCACATCTAAATGAAATAGGCAAATGTGAGCGTACAGAAACCAAAGTTGATTACACCAAAGTTGCCAAAGTGGTAACCCCCGCGGGGTAAAGGGAGCGTTTTCACTTAAAGAGCATTGAATTAAGTTCAGGATGGTGGGGTGACTTGGAAAGAGACAGCGAGAACAGTGGCATGGTAGGCAGCAAGGGGTGTATCTCAGCATGATGTGGCATGGTTGTAAGACTAGCATCAATGTCACAGAGCCATATGCCTAGAAATGATTGAAGTGGTGTATGTTTTGTTCTATTTTGCCTCAATAAAATGTATAGGGAAACAAAACCGATTGATGGAGGTCTGGGGTTCGTCCCCAGTGACTCTGTTTAGTTGGCCTGTGGTGGTGTAGCCTGGGTACTGGGAGTTTAAAACTTCCTCCAATGGTTCTAACGTACAACCACAAGGTTGTGAACCAGAGATAAGGCCTTGAGGATGTTGGCGAAGCCTTTGGATGGGTGACAAAGCAAGGTTCCTGACACTCAAAGGTGTCTCACCTGTGCCCCAGGCCCAGATCCAGAAAACCTCAGTGTCTCAGAGGGTTGGAGATGGCCACGGAGCCAAGAAAAGTATGTAATCCAAAGAATAATAGACAAAAGGGGACCTACTAGGGGCCAGAACAGGGACAGAACCTCCAAACTGTGACAAATGGGAAGAGGCTCAAACAGACCAGTCGTCAGACAGGAGGACAGTGGTGGTGCTGTGGTTAGATTCAAGCCTCCATACAGAGCTTGCATTACATGCTCTTCAAGTGTCGCTACCCAGTGTCCATCCATGAAGGATCCAGGTTACTCCCAGAGTCCGACAGGTGGAAAGGGCTGGTGTGGCGATTCCTTCTGAAAATCAGCCCATAAAAACCTGCTCACATGGTCTGATGCCAGCTTTTACAGGGCCCCTCATTTGGGGGCCCCCATGGATGAGGGTGGGACCTATTGGGCAACAGCCAACTGACAACAGAGAGACGCGGAGACCTGGAGAAAGGGGGACACATATCCATTTCTGTTCTCTTTCTGCCATGGCAAGTCAGCACAAACAGAATGGTTTGGAACAAGAAGTTCAGTAGTACGAAATGGGCTTGTTGGGCAAAAATGGAGCTGTTGGAGTGCCTTCCAGATGCAAACCTGTGCCTTTGCCTTTGACAATTTCTAAGAAACCCCAATGATGGCAGTGAGTTTGGTGGCGAGGTTGTCCACTTTCTTTGGCCCGTGGTCCCTGTCCCCCATCTTCAAAGCCAGCACCATTGGGTGAGTCCATCTCCTACAGCCATCTCGCTGGTTCTCCCCTTCTGTTTCCCCCTCGACAGGACCCTTGTGATTACATTGGACCCACCTGGATAGGGCAGGATTGTCTGGCCTTGAAGACCAGACCATCTGGTTAACAACCGTGCTTCCAGCTGAAAACGTACATGTCATTTCGCATTGCTGTGCAAGACAACACTTCAGACGCCAGAGATGGGGATGTGCGTGACTTTGTGGAGAAGGGGAGGGACGGGGCACAGTCCACCTTCCATGACATGGGAGTCTGTCTATCACACAGGGGATTGTGATCTCGCCTGCAGTCTTTTGCTCAGGGATCTGGGTGTTTTATGAGCATTGAGTTGGGAGGGCTGCCCCAAGATGAGTGCACCTGTGCTTGTTTGTGCAGGCTTGTTTACCAGGTGTCCTACCTGAGTATCTCCCTAATAAGTATGGGGGAGAAAGGGTGCCTGGAGGGCATACCTCATGAAGCACTGCTCCTCCATAAGGACTTGCTGTTGCCCTGCTGTTCTTCTCATTCATAATAAAACCCATTAAAAGTGTATCTCTCAAAAAATTAATTAAAAAAAAAAAAAGTGTATCTCTCCAGGTTTTCTTTGGGCACATGCATCTGCCTCTAAATAGTATCCCTCCCTGTAGTGCTGTGTGCGAGCATGTAGTATCCGGCATGGCTGTGTGTGTGCATTATGTAAGTGTACCCGTAAGTCTGTGTGCACATGTGGACATCCATGTGTTGGTGATTTGGGCAAGGATGTGTACCACAGGGTGTCTGCTCATCGATGTAGATACCAGGATGTTTACTTACCCACAATCCTCCAAGGCCATCGGATGTATTGAAGGAGAGGTCCTTCCTGAGAGAGGCAGAGGAACAGGGGCAGGGGGGAGGGAGGAGGAGGAGGAGGAAGAAGAAGAAGAGAGGGAGACAGAGAAGGAGGTGTGGGAAAGAGGGAACCCGATGAGCAAAGTATACAGAAGGTGTGCCAGAGATCTGGAGCAAAGAAGTGAGAGGCAGGGCTGGCTTCCCAAAAGGGTTATGGCTCCACTTAGGGTATTCTCTTGCTGTGTGGCTTTGGGCAATTCCAGTTCTTTGAGCCTCTGTGGCTGAAGACTCTTAGCCTGATAACCTCTTGGGCCTGTCCCAAAGGAGGGGAAAGAAAGAAAATAAAAATATACACAGGGAGTTAAAACAGGAGCCAGAGGGGCAAGTCACCTGGAGGCCAGGGAGGTAGTCAGGAAGGGCTGTCCAGGCCAGACCCTGGCTCCTGGAGGCTCCTGGAGGCTGCCCCGGGGATGCCCTCCCCCAAAGCTTCCAGTGCCAGTCCTGAAGTCCCAAAAAGGTAAGGCAGAAAGATGGAGAGGGAGAGAGGTGCTGTGAATGGCAGCCGCACGGCAACACCCAGAGGCCTGCCAAAGCCACATAAGCCAGGACCCGCGTTTCCGGCCCCCAAATGTAGGTGTGCCAGCCACCTGGAATGACTCACACCCTGGCGATGGGCACCGAAGCCAAGAGCCTGCGCGGGCACTCTGCCCACCCACCACCACACAGGGGGAAGCTCAGGCTCTTAGCGGGGCTTTCGGGGGTGGGGGGCACCCTCCCCACACATGGCTGCCTTGGGCCCCTCCTGCTGACCTCTCCGCCTGGAGATCTGGAGTCCCGGGTTCCCCACCTCCCCCAAGCCTTCCCCAGAAGCGGGAGAACCAGATGCGGTGTTACGCAAGGGCCTGGTGTTTACCTCCCGCGGGGCCTCCTCCCTCCCTATAAAGCCTGTTGAGGTGGGGAGATCCGCGAACACCGAGGCCCGGGGAGAAGAGGCGGCAATCGCAGGAGAGGGAGGGGGCAAAGGCGCAAAAAGTTAATGCGGGAGGCGGAGAGAGGGCCATCGAGTCACCCAGCGGCAAGGCCGGGCTGCCATCTGCGCCCTCGGAGGCGGCCGCGGTGGTCGCGCAAGGGGTGGCGCCCCGACACCGGCTCCCCATGGAGGCGCCTGAGCTGGGCCCGGGGCTGGTGGAGCGTCTGGAGCAGCTGGCCACGTGCCCGCTGTGCGGGGGCCCATTCGAGGACCCGGTGCTCCTGGCGTGCGAGCACAGCTTCTGCCGCGCGTGTCTGGCTCGCCGCTGGGGTCCCCCGCCGCCGCCGGGCGCCCAGGAGACGCCCCCCGGCTGCCCGAGCTGCGGCCACCCGTGCCCCCGCCGCAGCCTGAGGTCCAACGTGCGGCTGGCGGTGGAGGTGCGCATCAGCCGCTCGCTGTGCGAGAAGCTGGCCGCGCCGGGCGCCCGCACGGGCCGCCGCCGCGGGGGCCGCATCCCCACCATGGGCTGCCTGGACCCGCACGAAGAGGTGAGCTGGGGTGCACTCCGCGGGGCTGACCTGCAGGTGGCGGGATGGGACCCATGGATGCCCTGGGGAGGGGGGCTATGGCACTTCGGAGCCAAGGCTCTTTGCGAAGCCAAGGGTTGGCGGTAGACAAGCGAAAGTGGAGACACACAGGCAGAGGCTGCCCCTGGGCCTCCAGGTGGAGGGGTTCCGAGGAGTGGATGCGGTCCCCAGGGAAGGGTGCCATGGCTGGGTCTTGTGCCGGAACTGCAGAGAAAGGCTCCCGGAGTGAGCGCTGGGGACCTCGAAGGGACCCTACAGAGACACAGAAACTGAGGGAGGGCCCCCAGGATCACCGCTGGGCCCTTGAAGGAGAGTAAGTAGAGAGGGGTGGTTGAGGCTTAGGAGCAGCTGCAATTGAGGGCAGGTAGGAGGGGGCTGCCCAGGGGGCTGGGGTAGGGGGAGCAGTAGTCCGGGTGCAGCCGGGCCCAGTCCCAAGCGTTGGCTTCAGTTGTTTGTGTTATCCTCTGTCCCTCCCAGGGCCGCGGGCAGGGGCGGTGGTGAGCGAGGGGAGGTGGCCGATCCAGGAGAGCTTCAGGCTCCTGTCTACTTGCAGCCCCAGCCCCCATTCACCACTCCACCTGCACTTCAGTGGGCGGGCGCGCGCCGCGCACACACAGACACACGCCCAAGGTCCCCAGTCCATCAGGTCGTCTGTCAGTCACCCAAACTTACTCCCTTGCAGACCCGCTGGGCATTGGGATTTCCAACTGGCTTCTCCCCAGCAGGCCCAGCTTCCTCCCTTTGAAGCCTTCACCTACCTAATTAGTCTAGGTGTAATTGGCTTAATTGGGCAAATTGTCATACTTCTCGCCCTATCTCCACCAGACTGGCCACTTCCTGTCATCCCCACGGGTCAGCCCTGTTTGTGTGTGTGTGTGTGTCCGTCTGTCCCTCTGTCCAGCAGGGAAGGGGTCCTTGTATTAGAAGTGAAGGTAGAGCTCTCTGCCCTGAGCTGACTCCCAGGAACCTGTTAAGTACACATCCAAGTACACATCCAAGCCCAGCTGCCTACCTGGTCTGGGGACAGACAAAGCAGAGCTAATAAACGCTGCTGAGCTTTGATGGCAGCAGGGGAAGCAGCATTATTATAAGGCTTTCATACGCCAGCTATTGGGCCAGCTTGGGCTTTGGGCCTTGGGCGTGTGCTTGGCGTGTGTGCTGGGGGAGGCAGAGGGCTCTCTGGCTGGAATAAAGTCAGGAAGGTGGAGAAGGGGGAGGGACTAAGGACCCAGCTGCTTGCAGGAACTCAGGCAGGAGGCAGCCTCATGAGAATGGGGAAAAGGGTAGGGAGAAGGTGACAACGGAGGTGGAGTCAGGAAGAGAAAGGTCATGAGAGGAGGGCAGACTGAGTTGGAGTGAGGGGGCACCACTGGGATAGAGGTGAGATCAGGCTGAGAAGGGGGGGGCAGGGGCAGCACCCACTCCCACCTAGAGAGGGGCTGGGGCAGGGACAGTCCCCCTCCTCCCCACAGTACAAAGCCCAGGACTCACTTGCGTTTCCTTTCTTTTGCCAGGATGTCAGGAAGACCTGGATCCGGTGAGTGCTTCTTCTAGTTCCTTCCTTCTCACTACCCACCACCACAGCCCCCACCTCCCCACTGGGTCCCTATGCACACACCTCTGCCCCATGGGGGTGGGGTACCATAAGGCAGAGGGTGTCTACTGATTTCCTGGCCTCCTCCTTTCCTCCTTCAGATTGGAAGCCCCAGGACCCAAATGCCCTAACTCAGAGGATGACCTCCCTGAGGATTACCCTGTGGTCAAAAACATGCTTCACAGACTGACTGGTAAGAAGCAGAAGGGAGGGAACCAACCAAAGGTGTGTGTGTGTGGGGGGGGGGGGGGGGGGGGTAGGGTTTCTCTCTTCTCTCCCCTGGGAAGGACAAGTCCCTTTTGATGTCTGTCCCCGATTCCTCATCTCCCAAGAATGTTTACTCCTCACTTGTACGGACAGCAGACCTATGGAGAGCAGCTGCTTCCCAGGCAACTCTGCCCCATTCCCTCTCCTCAGCCCTCTCCAGAGAGATCCCAAGGACCCCTACGCAGGCCTGCCTGCCTGCCTGGACTCTCCACCTTCTCTGCAGATGTCCAGAGGTCCTCCTGCACTGACTCCAGGGGCGTTTCCTTCTGGCCTATAGAATAGGTCTGTCCACCCTCCCTGTTCTCCAGGCTGAGTGGGCTGGTTTCTCTGGATACCTTAGCTCTCTCTCTGTGCCCCTCCCGGCTGTCACCTGTGGTTCAGGTATCAGTCTCTGCAGGTGCACCTTCCCACCCAGCTGACCCAGCTCCCAAAGAACACCACACCCCATTCCAGCCACCTCTGCTTAGGTATCTGTCCCACCCCATCCCAGCAGTCAAGATCAGCCTCCCTCTCCTTCCTCTGCCTTCCTCTCATCTCTGAGCTGTGTCCTGGTCAGAGCTAGCAAGGCTGGCCCCCAGCCCGTTGTACAGAGGGCTCAGGGTGGTCTGGCTCAGCCCTGACCTGCAAAATGCCACCTGCAGCTGTTGGGAACCACTGGTACCCTGATTTCCTGGTAAGAGTTCTATACCCTCCGACTCGGGTCACCTGTCGTCCCCTCTCCAGCCGACCTGACCCTGGATCCCCGCACAGCGCACCGCCGCCTCCTCGTATCCTCCGACGGCCGAAGCGTTCGCCTGGCCCCGCCCGGTACACCAGCACCCCCGGACAGCCCCTCTCGCTTCGACCAGCTCCCGGCGGTGCTAGGCGCCCAGAGCTTCGGTGCCGGCCGCCACTGCTGGGAGGTGGAGACGGCGGAGCCAGCGTCCTGCGGGAACTCCTCCGGGGAGGACGAGGGCGACGCTGAGAGCTGCTACGCCCTGGGCGCCGCGGGCGAGTCCGTGCGGCGCAAGGGCCGCGTGGGGCTGTGCCCCGCGGGAGCCGTGTGGGCTGTGGAGGGCCGCGGGGGTCGCCTGTGGGCCCTCACCACCCCAGAGCCCACCCCGCTGGGGGGCGCGGGACCCCCGCCGCGGCGCATCCGTGTGGATTTGGACTGGGAGCGCGGCCGTGTGGCCTTCTATGACGGCCGCTCGCTGGACCTGCTCTACGCCTTCCAGGCACCGGGGCCTCTGGGGGAGCGGGTCTTCCCGCTGCTCTGCACCCGAGACCCCCGTGCCCCTCTCCGCATCGTGCCCGCCGAAGGCTGAACGTCCCCCACCCACCCATGCTGCGTCAGCGTGGGCATGGAAAGCCCAGGGCGTTCCAAGGACTGCGTCTGCCCGCCAGCTGGTGGACCCTCGCAATGCCCCCACAAAGACCTCAGCTGGTCCCCAGGTTCCCACCCATACCCAAAGCCTAATCCAGTCCCACACCCCTCTTGGGACATTACCCCACTTCCTCCTCCCCAACTGACCTCTCCATTTCTTACAAGATTTCCAGCCCTGCCCTATCAGTATTGATAAACGACCCGTGTTTACACAGGTGCCCTTGAGGTCAGATACCAGGGGCTTCAAGAAGTCCTTGGGAAATGGTAGTGACTTTACTCCATTTCCACGAACTGTTTAAACCACGCTCATTTATCTCCTACCAAGGCACAGTACTGGCCTTCACCAGTTCGGGCTTCCTTCGAAGCTTCTCTTAAGCCAAGAGGCGCCTCCCCAAAGCCAGGACACCTCCGAGAAGCTTAATCGCTTCTTTCTTTCTGGTGGGCCAGTTCTACATCCATTAACCGGCTTCCTGTGCTCATAGCTTTTCTCCCCCATAAAGTTTCAAGACTTCCCGCTTCACATGCTCACACAGTAGACCTGATGGTGCTACCTTCCCTCCCTTCCCCCTGGGAACAGCCCGGACCCAAGGGCTAACTTGTGTATAGAGGCCCACATCTTGGCCATGTGGATAAACGGGCCCGTATTTAACACGTTTTGTGATGTTGGGTTATTTATTTTGTGCATCTGTGGCGAGAGGAAATAAATGCTATTATCAGTGGTGGTATGGGTTTGATTGATCTTTGAAACCGTGCTTGGGAAGTGATACCCAGACCCCATATGGAAGAAGAAAGGGTGTGAGGGGCGCATCCCAATCTCTCTACCTGCTCCCTTCCTATTGCTCCCCTAAGAATCCAGCCTTCTGGGATTAGGTCTCATCCAGCTGAGACACTGGCACACCAAAGGCTGAGGAGACAGTGGGCTTTGCACAACCAGTCAGGGAGCTAGCTTCCCCAGGAATCCCAGACCTGCTGAGAAGGGGCACAGAGGGCACCCTATTTCTTGTTCAGGTTTTCCATCGGAGGCAAGCCTGGCAAAGGGCTCTCTCATGCCTCTAAATAGCCTGAGGGAGTGAGAGGGGTGGGGGCAGGGCTCCCGAGACCTCACAGGACTAGGAGTCAGGATTGCATACATAGTTAATGGAAGAACTTCTACACCAGGACCTGTGAGCATAACTAGGACCAGGCTGCTGGGAATCTGACCGGAACCCTAGCAGTGGAAGTTGGGGCTGTTGAAACCCAATATAAGTGTTTGGGGCTCAAGTAGCACGTGCAGGGGGCTGAGCTAACTGATCCCAGGGCTGATTGGGTCCTTTGGCAGTGAGAACAAAGGAGAAGGATCAGGCCAGGACCCTTCCAGGGGAGGGGCTGGGTCTCAGGAAGGACATGAGGGTCAGAGGAATCCAGAAACCTGAGTTCTGAGAAAGCAGCGTCGGAATTCCAGGAGCTCTGGCCCCTCTCCTCTCCTTCTCTCTAGCAGGCAGAGGACAGGGGAAGAAGGGGCCTAGAGAAGGGATTAAACCATGGGTCTAGCCCCCAAGTAGCCACATGGATACACTCAGGGCCAGACAGACACCAGAATGGAAGGGGAGAGAGGAATTTAGTGCTGCATTGGCCCTGGAGGGGGCTGGGAGGGGTCCGGTGGCTGGGGAGGGGTGTTGGGGGTCTGGTCCTGGGATGTACGACTTCGTCCTTTGCGGTGGCCCCGGACACAGTGTGCATGACCACAGCCTTCCTCGTCCTCCTCATCACTCTCTGTGGAGCTTTCACCAAAGGCCCGAGGTTTCTCATAAATACAGCAGCCTGGATTTGGAAGCAGAGGGCGGAGCCCAGTTACAAAGAATGAACAAGGTGCAGAGTCAGCTCCATTCCCACTCCGTGTCAGTGAAAATCCCTGTGGTGACCACTGCTTCCTCCTACCTCCCAGGATCTCGTTTCCCTAGGCCTCCCTCTCCGGCTCAGGGCCCCAGCCCTCATGTCCTGGGCTCACCCATTAGTTAGAGTGCAGGAAATCCAAAGTCCCACGTCTCCAGTATTTCCCTCCAAGCCTAGCAACACCCGTCCTCGAGCTCTCCCTGCCTCTTTCCCTCTAACAAACCCCTCTCTGTCTCATGCCTGAAGTCTTGGTGGTGCAGTAGTCAAGGGTTGGACTGCGAACTGCAAGGTCAGCAGTTCAAAGTCCCAGCTGTTCCACAGGAGAAAGACCGAGGTGTCTGCTCCAAAGCAGAGTTATAATCTAAGATCCCCCACCCCCCCACCCCACCCCGGGGCAGTCTCACAAGGTCACAGTGAATGGAAACCCACCAATGGCAGGGGGTGGGTTCTAACACTGAGGAGCCACCAAGGTAGGGACAGGATGGTGAGCACCTGGGAGCTCCAGGGGCTCAGTGGCTATAAGGTAGATTTGCAGAGGGGGCTGGGCCTCCCAACGATCCCACGCACCAATGATTAACTCACATTTGGATGAGCGGCGGCCCATGTGCTCATTGTCCACGGTGTCACTGGTCCATTCCACCTTTTTCTCTGGCTTCCGTTTCCGAAGTTTGATGGTGAGGCTCCGGTTCTCCTGGAAGGTTCAGAGGGACGGGCATACCTATCAACTCCACTCCTACTGGCCATTCCCTCTCCTTCAGGGGGCAGCTTTTCTAGGCCACCCCCCAGCTCGATCAGAACCATAACATAGCACTAGAGGAGCTGGGTGCTAGGAAAAGCTAACATGGAGCAGGTCTTTGGCCTCAGAGAATCCCCTGAGGAATAGTAAAACATTATTTCTTGTTCTTAACTTCTGATAATGTACAACGAAGACATAATTCCTAACCTAGGGGAACTCCCAGCATATCTTCTTATTTTTAACCCAACATATCTTCTAAAGGAAATACAATCCTCCCTGTATCTCTGTCTTCACTGGGTGGTATTCATGTATAAAAATTATCTTCTTTCTCCAGTATCTATGTTTTGAACTCCTTTTATCTCAACCCTAATAGCTGCGCACACACACACCCCCCATTATAGCCACCCTCTATTCTCACTCCTTTAATCCTCAAATTCAGAACTTCCCATTCCTTCGCCATCTATTCTCTAGCATCCTAGCTACTCTGGTAACTACTGTTTGAACTGTCCTGAACCCACAGATTATTAAACCAAATGCAACCTCCTTTTGAAAGCCACTTGATCTGTTTTTTTGCAAAAATGCTACTCATCTCCATCTCACTTCTCTCCTCCTGGTTTCTCAAGGCACAATCTATCTCCTATTCCTTGTGTCTCAATCCCTCCACCGCCCCCTTTACAAACATCAATTTAAAAATACTAAGCCTGCACTACTTTTTTGTGGAATTACCTCCAACAGGGCTTTTCTCACACCGCTCTCCAGCACCCTGCCCTGCCCTGCCCTTACCCCCAATTTCTCTTTTGGTCCACTCCTTAGTTAAACCACCAGCCTCGGCCCTATAGCCGCATCATCCTAACTCTAAGCCATTACATGTCTCTTCACCAGGATCCAGCACTATCCCAATACCTTGCGATTCTCCAAACCCCAGCTATTCAACTCCACTTCTCCCATATCCCCAGGTCCAGTCGCTGAAGCAACTCTCTAATGGCCCATGCCCTCCCTCCCGTTATCTCCCAGACACCCAAACAGCACCCACCCACCCCCAGCCTTTCTCACGGGCTCAGTTGTCACGGTAACCGTTGTCTCGGTGACGGTCTCACTCAACCCAGCCCCTGCCTCGGCCATGGCTAAGGCAGAGGAGCAGCGGGTGGAGGGGATGAAGGAGGATGAGACACCCTGCCCTTTTTCTGTGTGTCTGAGATCTCAGCGAACGGGTATCGCACTCGGAGGAGTAGCCAGTACCCTCCGCTTTCTTTCGGCCCCCCCTCCTCCGGGGCCTAGGCTTCCCCACCCCAGGGTATAACCTGTCCAACCCCACTTCCTGTTCTCCTCTTCCGGGTGTGACCACTCCTGTAGTCCTTCATTTCCCTACTCCCTCCCCCAAATGCGCCGGACGCAGGCGTCGCCGGACTAGTTCCTCCTTCCTGCGCCGGCGCCGAGAGACGAACTAGCTATTCGGGGGTAGGAACGTCACTGCGCATGTGTGGAATGCACGGGGAGGGCAGGTTAGAGCGGTCCACAGGGGCTGGGCAGTATGCGCACGCGCACCAGGTAGGGGGCGGGGCGTGGCTAGCTACAGGAGTTGGCACCTTCCTGGCATAGCGGATCTCTCGCAATGGGTGGCTGGCCCCAGGATTGAGATCATCTGTAACTGAGCTCCAGTACTTTCTCCCTGGGGTTGGAGTCGGGTGGAGTGTGCGTTTACAGGAGTTTACAGCCTCATTGTTCAAGCAAGGGGTTTTGTGGCTCTGCACACTATCACCTAGCACCGTAAAGGCCCGTACTCTTGGGAATCCGGGGCCTGGGACCTCAGTGCATTTGAAAACACACTCACCTGGGTTTCAGATGGGCCTTACAACGCCCCGTACCGTATCTGTGCAGGCAGGTCACTTCATGCACCTTCAGCTGGGCTTTCTCCAGTTGCTCTGCTAGGCCCTGAGCATGAGAAGTGCACAAAGCGTTGCCATTTGAGTAGTTAAGGCAGACACTTAAGCATAAGACCTTAGGTACTTTTGCTTTTGCTCGTCCTTGAAGTGGAGATAAGTAAGACCAAGTGGAGAAACCACTTGTCCATCAGTTTATCACATGTGGTGGCTGGTATGTTGCTGTGATGCTGGGAGCTATGCCAATATTTCAAATGGGAACAGAGCAGGGTTTTCCATAACCCCTCTAGTTGGCTAGAGAAAATCTTATAAATAGCAACTGAACAAAGTCTGCTTATAGTGCAGGAAGCTGAATGGCTCACATTTACATTGCTCATGGGTTATTTGCAGCTGTGTCTTCTCATGCTGCGAAGGTCCTGAAAGTTTTACTCCATGTGTGTCATTAAAGTTGATTGAAGTAGTCAACTTTAATGACACACACGGAGTAAAGCTTTCAGGAGAAGAAACGGCTGCAATTAAACCATTACTAATGCAAATACAGAATATACAAAGTATGAAACCAGCAAAGTTGGTAGTTTAAAAAGATGAAATACCTAAAGATCAATATTTTAGGCATTAGAAAGCTGAAATGGACAGTATTGGCCATTTTTAATAATCACATGGCTTACTAAGCCTTGTATGAAAAGGAATTGCATCATATGTATCATCAAAAAGAATTTCAAGCTTTATCCTGAAAAACAACAATAGTCAGTGATTGGATAATATCCATATGCTCACAAAGACCAATTAGTACTACTTCTTACTTCCTTAGTCTGGGTAGACTAGAGAAACAAATCCAGGGAGACTCATATGTGTGTAAGAGAGAACTTTACATCAAAGAGCAATTGTACATTAAGAAAACATCCCGGCCCAATCCAGATCAAGGCCATAAGTTCAATATTAGCCCATATGCCTGATACCAGTCTGTAAATTCCTCTTCAGACTCATGCAACACAGGCAATGACGCCATGCAGGCAGATCACAGAACAGTAGGTGGAAAGTCTTGTGAATCCAGTGGCGATAGAAGCATCTTAGTGCTGCCATTGGTCTCCACGTGGCTCCTCCAACTGGCTGCCATCAGCATAGCTCCATGTGTCTTGTTAACAGGAATGTCTCACAGGCAGACGAAGCAGAGTGTGTGTCCTGCCTCCAGCAAGCTATTTATCTCCATGGTGCCTCCAAATGAGGTCATCAAGCTGTGACTTGATTGACAGGCTAAACTCCACCCCTTCACTCTTAATAGTTTCAAGTTGGTACCAGATGATGTAACTTCCACATCCATCAACTACTAATGCCAAAGAGAAATAGAATTTTTTTTAGAATATTTTTTTCTTGTCAAGCACATTTGTACACATGTTGCCATCATTTTCAAAACATTTTCTTTCTACCTGAGCCCTTGGTATCAGCTCATTTTCCCCTCCCCCTCCCAAATCCTTCACCCACTTTTCTGTTGTCTGTCCCTGAGGGAAGGGGTTATATGTACATCATTGTGGTCGGTTCCTCTTTTCTCCCCCTTACCCTCCTGGTATCGCTACTCTCATTGTTGGTCCTGAGGGGTTTATCTGTTCTGGATTCCCTGTGTTTCCAGCTCTTATCTGGACCCATGTACAAGCTTTGATCTAGCCGGATTTGGATTTGTAAGGTAGAATTGGGGTCATGATAGTGGGGGAGGGAGGGAGGAAGCATTAAAGAACTAGAGGAAAGTTGTATATTTAATCAGTGCTATACTGCACGCTGACTGGCTCGTCTCTTCCTTATGACCCTTCTGTAAGGTGATGTCCAATTGTCTATAGGTGTGCTTTGTGTCTCCATTCTGCACTCCCCGTCATTCACATTGCTTTGATTTTTTTGTTCTGGGTCGTTGATGCCTGATACCTGATCCCATCGACACTACAGGCTGGTGTGCTTCTTCCATGTGGACTTTGTTGCTTCTCAGATAGATGGCCGCTTGTTTATCTTCAAGACTTTAAGATGCCAGATGCCTTATTTTTTGATAGCTGGGCACCATCAGCTTTCTTCACCACATTTGCTAATGCACCCAGTTTGTCTTCAGCGATCATGTCGGGAAGGTGAGCATCATGGAATGCCAGGTTAATAGAACAAAGTGTTCTTGTGCTGAGGGGGTACTTGAGTAGAGGCCCAATGTCTGTCTGCTACCTTAATACTAACATATAAATATATGGACATAGATCTATTTCCCTATAGTTATATGTAAATATATTTACATATGTACATCTGTATTGAGACCTCTATAAATGTCCTTTGCCTCCTAGTTCTTTCCTCTATTGAAACAGAATATTTTTCCCACCATCTGCATCATATAATTAATTAAACATATGATTGATTGGAAAAAGTCATGGAAAAAGCACTGCTGGATGAAGTTTTGTAATACACATTTTTCCCTCTAGACAAGCATCAAGCAACTCACTCTGAGTTAGTGCACCCAATGGTGTCACCTTGGAAGGTTATCTCTGGTCACAGTGAATTTTTTCATAAAAGCAGTTCACTCAAACCTCACTTTTTGTGGTGGCCAATTTAAGAGAGCAATGTGCGGCTGTGAAATTTTGTTTCCTGCTTGGGTAAAATGCCACAGAAACTGTTATGATGTTGAACAAGTTTGCAAAGACAGTGCTATGGGGAAAAACCTCAAGTACACAAGTGGTTTTTTTGTTCCAAAAAAGGTGAAATGTCAATTGATGACAAACCTCAATCTGGACGTGTCAACTTCCTGATGGACAAAAATGTTGACAAAATTCGGGTACTTGTGAACCAAGCCACACTCTTTATGCCCTTGGGGGAATTTTTCTACTTTTCTAGAGGGAATGGTCCACTAAAAAAAAGATAAGACATCAAAACCATTCCTTGATATATAAGAACCATTTCAGGACCATTTGGAAGAAGCATGCCCAAGATCTCCGAAACTTGATGCAGCAGAGCCCAGGGCCCAGAGCAGCCTCAGGGCTATCGAGTGCCTTCTCACCTGGCCAAGACCCTGGAATGAATGGTGCGACAGAATGAGAGGTGGACGGGCTTCCTGGCCCGTGGAAACAAAGGCCGAGAGACCCTGTGGCTGAGACAGGCTGGAGACTTGCCTGCGGAGCGGTGTTGCTGGGGACCAAGGGCTGTCTCCTCACTGCTTGGGGATCTTGACTGGTGATAACCTATTAACTTACTCAGTAAGCCTCCTCCATTCTGGGGATTGTCCGTGAGTTCTGTGTGGTCGGGCATTGGATTATCAAGAAGTAGAGTGCGGTGGGAGGAATGGTTGGTATCAGAACAAGATAAAGGAGGAGGGAGGGTGAAGGGATGTCTGACTCCTGCCTCGTGGCAATGGGGACTCCAGAGGAGGCCAGATATGTCTACCTCCATTGCTGCTCACCACAGGGATGATAAAGAAGCTCAATATCATATGTCAGAATAAGGCCAGGGGCTAAGTGTGGAATTGATTTGATCATCAATCGCTCATATGCAAGTTGAAGAAAATCTTAAAGTCCATAAAAGCCAATATATGACCTGGAGTATATTCTGCTTGAACTTGCAGACTACCTCAAGAATAGATATTGAACATTAATGCTATCAAGGACAACCTACACGAAGAAAGCAAAAGACCACCCAAAAGACAGGCAAACGGGAAAAGAGTGAGTATCAGGAGAGACTGAAGCAGGACGTGGGGGGAAATGAGGAAGTGAAAGAGCTAAATAGGTTTTAAACAGTGACTCCAAACACCAGAGTATTATAGTGAAATGTGCCAAGACCTGGATTTAGAAAACCAAGAGGGAAGAACGTGCTCAGTATTTCTCAAGCCAAGATAAATGAATTTATACTTTGACTTGCAATACTGAAGGATTCGAAGAGCAAAATGTTGAGCAACCCAGGAAGCATCAAAGGATGGACCCTGTACCAAAAATAACTGATCAATGTTCTACCACTTCAGGGGGCCACATGATCAAGAACTGTTAATACGGAAGAAATCCAAATTGCATTGAAAGCCATTCGCAAGAAAACAAGGCTCCAGGAATTGACTGAAACCAATGGACATGTTTTAACCAGTTAATGGAAAGTTAGAAAGAAGGCAGCTACCTCGCCAACCAAATGGAAGAGATCTGTATTTGCTCCAAAGAAAGGTAATGTTCATTATCACACATAAGTAAAGAGCATGGAGACAAAAGGGAATTCCACAACACAATTGTGCTCTAGCAGAACCTGGATACCTGGACAAGCAGTCATTGGAACAGAGCAAGGGGATTCTCAATGTTTTAAAATCAGGAAAGGTGCATCAGGGTGGTATCCTTTCACTATCCTTATTCAATTGGTACTGCAAATACCAATTATAGGAAGTCTGATTATAGGAAGAAAGTGGCATTAAGATTAGAGGAAGACTTATTAATCACATGTATTATGGAGATAACACCTGGCTTGCTGTAAACAAAGAGGTGTAGTATGAAATATAAAAAAAAAATAATTGACGCTGTGGGAGGGTGAGGGGCCGGACCCCACC